GGTCTGCGCCGGGGGCAGGGGGAAATGAGTCGATTTAACAGGTTGCGACGGGCGTCTGGTGCGCGGCTTTGTCGGCACCCTCATTTTTGGCGTTGAGGTAGTCAAGAGCAGGCTGTTTATTAGCGATTTAGCACTGCTGCTGTCTCAAATACTGGCTTCTCATGCTCTAAAACGCTTCCTACGAAGCTGCGTCCTCAGTTGGGTGTCTAATAACTCTCGGGTATCCGGCAGCTGCCAAAATGTCAGGACGTATAGCTGTTTATCTCCAGCCCCATTCGGGCTTTAAGATGGTGCGTACACATAAGGAAATACCAAAACTTTTCTTCCCGTTAACAGGAAGAAAGGAGAACATAAAATAGCTTTGGGCATCCTTATGGCTCTAAAGGCAGTTTAATCTCCCCAAAGTGGTATTTTCTTAGGCTGTTGGGCCAGTGACCCTTGCTTTAAATCACTTTATTCATAAAGTTTTCAAGGGGCTGACACTTCCTTGTGCCAACGTTTTAACTCTAATGTGGTTTTTTTTCTTTTTCATATGTAATCTATGCATAATGGGACATTTTTCATTTTTATTATTTGCTGAATGCATTGCCTGAATCTGCTGAGAGGTTCTTTTATCCTTTTGATTTAATGGGTACAGGATTCCTTGTAATTTTACAAATATAAATCAGATTGTGGAGTTAAATAATTTTGAAGGGACGACCTAAAGGGAGACATTGTAGTTCAAGCCGTTTGTAAGTTTGCAAAGTGATACTTAGTCAGAAGTCCAAGCAGGGATGAGTAATTGATTGGGTTTTTTAGGTCTTTTGCTGCGATTTGGGTTTGGGCTTTTTTTTTTCCTGCAGGGCATATGACATTTGCAAAAATCTGTGCTCTTCAGTTAAGTACACTGTATCCTTCAAGGATCGTGCTGTAACAAACAAGCAATATTATTAGATACTCTTTTTTTTTTCCTTTTCTTCCTACACTCTGTCTTCCTTGAATAATTGCCGTGTTCCACAACACAAAGGCCTTGTATCTTTGTGCATACGAAGTGGTTCAACAGGATGAAACAACTAATTTGTTGCGAATAAAAGAAAAAGAAAGAAAATGGCAAACGACTGAAACATTAACCATGCTCAGTTGCATTTTTTCATAGCAGTACTTCATAAGTAGGCAAGTTTCAAAATACAATTTTTGTATTCGTACAAAACAGTCTGTGCTCAGGGCACTCTTATTTTCCGGTTTTGAAAATATGCTTAATTATAGGTGTACTCCCTGAAGTCAATGAAAAGATTCCTACAGACTTGCCTGACCTGCAAGGATTAATTCTAGCAACTTTTCCATCATGTCATTCCTTCATATAAACACAAGTTTCTGATGTTGCTGGGGTATACTCTTGTAAGCTTCCAGGAGATGAGGCAGTAGAAGACCTCACTGGACTTACAGGCTTGTTCCATAAGGAACAACAAGCTTGTTCCTATAAGGAGACAGATTCAGTTTAAGCTTAGCATGAACATTTGTGAAATTGGTGTTGTATTTTTTGGAATGTGGCTGGAAAGGCACTCTGCGTTTCATGTAGCCTGTCATGTTCTCACATGCTGTATTTTCATGCGCCGTTATGGAGCTGTAATTTTGAAGAGCTAGTATAGAAATGTTTGAGACTAAAAATCCTGTGCTATAATGTATATGTTTGGTTGTTGTTTTTACATTGGAATGGGCAGAAATTTCAGTTTTTCTCTGCCTGGATCTAACAGTATCTTTTGATTGAAACTTTCATTGCTAGTCAAGTCTGAAGTGTTAAAAATTACTGAGGACAAGGTTACAGTGATTTGATTTTTGTAATGTGCAGATATCTCCTAAGCTCTGAGAATTCTGGGTATGTATAACATTGTGCATTTGTGTCTTTACATACAGGCAAAGAACAGTTCTGCAGTATCTGAGGATGGATAAAGACTTCCGCTACTACTTCCAGCACCCGTGGTCTCGCTTAGTTGTGGCTTACTTAGTGATCTTCTTTAACTTCTTAATATTTGCTGAGGACCCAGTATCTCACAGTCAGACAGAAGCCAATGTTATTGTTGTTGGTAATTGTTTCTCCTTTGTAACAAATAAATACCCTGAAGGAGGAGGCTGGAGATTTTTGAAGGTGTTTCTGTGGCTGCTTGCCATTCTCACAGGACTGATAGCTGGGAAATTTCTCTTCCATCAGCGCCTGTTTGGTAAGTTACATGATGCACCTACTGACTTCCTCATAATGGCTTTCTGACTTCTCCTTTCAGCTTTCTACTCATTGCAATTTTGTAAGCTTTGCTATTAATCGCTTCAGCTGTTTAGAGCTGTATAGAACTCAGTACATCAAAGCTTACATCATCGTGGAAATTAATGCCGTGTCTACTTACGTGAGCATAATTCACAATGATTTCAGTCAAAGAAGGCTAAGAATAGTGAAAGCTGACATGTTTTAAATACTTGAGAGGTCAGTGATTTTCAATACTATAAAAATACTCCTTTGCATCTTCAGACCGATTTTTAAATCTTATTATATCATTTTCTCAGCAGTTTGCAGAAAAGGTATTGCTCCTCGGGGCAGCGACACTACATGTCTTGTCAAAAGTCACATAAGTGGAAGCAGAGGCTGGGGGGGGTATTAGCAGAGCTGTGCTGAAGAGCTCCCATGTGAAAACAGGAATTCTAGAGAAGCAGGACCTGCCTGTCTCTTAGTATAAGTGCGAGTCAGTGAGATGGAAAGGTAGGAAATGGAAAAAAAACATGACAGTAAATGCTTTTGTGCACAAGATGTGACTAAACTGGGGAACTTACTGCACATGGACTGACTGAAAGGAATGGAATGACCCTGGATTAAATTCTGAGACTGAGAACTTACATGTAAATATATAGAGATACAAAAATATCTCTCATTGTCTTAACCGAGTCATGTAGTAAATGTAGAAGATGTTGCATCTGAGGGCTTAAGGCTGTCTCTAAGCTTTAGAGATAAGTAGAAATCATGGAAAAGATTACTTCACTCCTGCCAGCTGCACCGTTCTTTGAAACATCTGATTCTAGGTGTGTCATTGCTGGTCCAGATGGACTAGTCCTATATTCTTATGCTGGTAGGACTGCAGGATGGATGGTTACTGGAACACCTCGAAGCACATGAGCGATAGGCCATTTCCTTAGTCTGTCTCCTTCTATTAAGATAGAAAGAGAGCCACTATTGTTTCCATAAATCAAATGTAAAGCTGTTATGTCAAGGAATGAACAAGCAAAGCCACATTAAGAGACTTCTTTTAATACAGACTTCTCTTGAAGCACTTATTCTGAAAAATAGTTGAGCGTCTTGATGGCTATTTGGTGGCCATTTTACCTTAATTCCTGTGCTTTGGAGCAAGCACTGTCACAATAATGTTTTCCATTCTGGCTTCCACAATTGAGGAATGATTTTTTTAAATTGGAGAAGATTAGGGAAAAGTAATGAAACTGATGATATAATTGGAATATAAGCCCTACAGTGAGAGGATTGAGAGGATAAAGGAAAGATTAGAGGGTGACTTGCTCAAATTTGACTTGAAGGACAGAACCTTCAGTCCAGCAAATGTATTGCAAGGTCCAGTGCTTGGAAATGGCAAATAGCCAGCACTTTTTTTTTTAACTGAAAGGCTAGACAATCAGTGGAACAAGTTGTCGTAGGATGCGGCTTCATCAAGACGTGAATTTTTCTTTTTGTTCTAGTATGACTACAGAGTAATTCTCTGCCTTCTATCTAGGTAGGTTATTATGATAATTCCTTCTGGATTTGTAAGTGTATACTAGAGATAGGACATAGCTTAACTTAAATTTCAAAGTGGCTTGAATCAGCATTGCTGCCAAAAGGAGAAGGTCTGCCCAGCCTTCAGCATCTGCTGCTCTGTGCTTTTGTGCAGTTGCTCAGTGAAACAGGATAGGGAACTTACCCACGTTAGCAGTACCCCTCTTTTATTTCTGTGAGGATCATGTCTCTGATCATACCGATGTTTGTGACAGCACAAAGAAGGGAACAGCACTGGGAGGAAACTAACAGGCAACAGATTCCTACCCCTGATGGCAGTGCTGGCTTATGGATGTTTACAGTTATGGTCTGGGTGAGCAGTATGGATGTAGATACAATCTGATCTGAGGCTAGTTGCTGCATGTTGATTTTCATGGCAATTTGAGGCAGTGTAGATCTGCCGCAGCCCCACCCTCCTAACCCCAGCCACATCGTTTTGGTGCCTTCTTTGAGCCAGCGCTGCTGTTAATGTGATGGAGCAGCGAGCCAGCTCAGGCAGCTGATCCCATGGAAAACCAGTTGCTTCTGCTGTTGTCTACAGCAGCTCCTTGAACTGATGCGATCGCTTGGGTGCCAATGCTGATGCAACGGCCAAGGACTGTGCAGCCAAGATAGCCGGCGGCCACGGCAGCCCAACCTCGTGTTGGCTCGAGTGCAGTGGGACTGCACCCACGCAGTGTGTCGGTGGCAATATGCTGTTGCTTGTGATACGCTGCGAGCAGATGGCAGTCTGTGTGACTGTATTGCTGATTGATGTGGCCACGCTAGCTGTAAACTAACTAGTGTGGATAGCGATCGCATTGATGAGATGATGATGTGGGTTTACAGCTTGAGCGTATCTCTGGGTCTCCAGATTTGTACAGCCCATGCTGAAATCTTTACTGCCAGTTATTTGCCACTATTTTAATGTTTTCACTGCCTAGAAATCCCTCATTTTATTGAAATCCTCATTGAGTATGCCCTCTGGATCTTCTGGCATCAAGCACTTTTATGAGTTCGCCCCTTGATTGTTCTTAATTTCCCTAGTCTATCTTTCTAAGTAGCTGCTGATTCTGTCCTTTATTTAATCCTTTTTTTTTTTTCATGTATAATTGTTTGGAGCCATTCTATTTTTTAATCCTCATTCATTTATTTATATTTCTCTGCTAAATTCTGTTCGTAGAGGAGATTGTGACTGGTTGTTTCTTGTGGCCTGTGTATAACTTCCTGCAGTCAGGAAACCGAATAGCATCAGTCAATCTTCCCTGTCAGATCTTGGCTCACAGTGTATGCTGCAAATTGAAATTGAGAAGGATTAGTCTGCACATTTCACTTCAGATGAAGAGTGGAAAGGATTTTCTTTCTTTATGCCCTTCCTGGTCTTTTGTCCCTTGTCTTCTTTATTTCTTGCTGCTGAGTTTGCATATGAACTAGAAAAATAGTGTAGCTAGAATTACGTTGTAATATAGTTTACCATCTGTGACAGACACTGTCTGATAGCCATGACTGTCATGAACTATAAAAATAATAGAATTAAGTTCAAGCATGTTATGTTTCTAGAATTGGAAGGAGAAGTGCTGGAACCATCGTTTAGGCTTCATCTCTCTGAGTTTTTAGAGAGATAAGGGAGTAGGTAAACTATAATGTTGAGGAGTAGAGATCTCAACTAGAGAACATGGTGGGATGTTTTCTGTTGATAATATTCATTGCAACCTTTGAACAGTAACCTCTTCAAGACACTGCTCATGACTTAAAACAAGATTAGAAAACAATTACGTTTCTTGCTCTTCAGTCAAGAAATAACTTACTTCATTTGATAAACATCTCCCGTGATAAATATTTCCAAGGAAAACAGCCTTTATCTAGTACATTCTTTATATCTTTATGGCATGTGGTCAGAACAAATAGAATTTTAAAATTGCCTTTTGGCTGTTGTCCACTATATTCTTTTGATTCATCACTAAGCATATATTCTATTTGGTTAGTATTTGTGTTCTGCCATGCTTTTTATTTTGCAATGGAAAATGAAAGGTCATAGATGAATATTGGAAGTTTGGGGAAATAAAAAATAAAGATATATACCCCTGTTATTTTTTTGTTCTGCATGAGAGAGTGACTTGAGGTGGGGAAAAGTGGTATCTTCTTTGCATTTGCTTAGAGATTTCTTGATTTATTTTCTGCTTTATTAAAAGCAGAAAAAGCTTACAAACTGACCCCATTTGATGACACTATGCATTCAGAAAATGCATTCAAATCTTAAATCCCAACTTAAAAGAAATTCCTGAATAAGCTCTTGCACATTTTTATAAGGCTCTGGGGCACTGTCTGGAAAATAACACAGTATTCAGTGTGTAGAAAGTGTATGTTTTAATCGGCACCTTCTCAGCGAATGCAGTTCTGGACTCCAACCTCAGGCCCAAATTCTGAGTTCAGTGGGGGGTTTTTTGGCCCCAAGTTCAGGCTGTGCATTTTGCATCGATGTATATAAATATGATCTATCATGTAAATTTAAAATCATCTTTCATTTGAATAGACTTTTAGCAGTATGAATAAGTGGGCAGTGTACTTGGAAAAAGAATACCTTAATTTTCTCAGTCTAGCATCTTTCCTTTGACTGTTTTCCATGTGTAATAATCCTTAGCTTATGCTGCATATTAGATACATCAGTTTTTAAAAACATACTTCCTACAAAACATGCATGTGTCTACTTGCCCATTTTTCTGGTTCTAAGTTATTATAAAGATGTATTAAAATCTTATTGGAAGCCTGTTATTACAGAGACTGGATTTTATTCAATTACCAATGAGTGTGCCTGGATTTATATTTGTAAGTTCCTTTCTAAATTATGTGGATGGAAACTAAATACTTAATATGTTATAACAAATCATGGAAAACAAGATACATAGAACTAAAGCCATATTTCTTAAAATAGGACAATCATAATACTTCAAGCAAACCAGAGCAGTTGAATAAATGTTAAATTTAATGGGCTGCTCTCTTACAAATGTTCACAGTATGCAGTTTGTTTGGAATTAAATGGTAATCTGAGCTTCAAAGACACTGGAATGAATAAATAAAGCAGTCATTATAGGAATTGCACTGAGCTGTGGGTACACACTAATGTTGCAAATTTTTTAATGGACAGTAGTGCCATGCTGGGAGCAATTTCATGATAGACAGTTTCAAACAAAACACCCACTGAGGACCTGTTGTCTGAAAGCGTTACTCTTTTTGTCAAACATCTTATCTGGAAGGCTCTAAAAGATACTGCAAACCTATTATAAACAGACTCTTCAGTGTCTCCTTTTATGCCGAAAGTTAAAGTGTGTATCAACTGAAGGAATGAATGTATGCAAATTGCAAGAGGAAATTAGGCAGAATGGGATTTAGTCAGGGTGATAGTGCACTACATAAGAAAAGTGACTCTGTTAG